AAACGGAACAGCAACGAGACGTATTTAGTTTCAAGCACAGTTCGGACACTATATTCATCCTCTCAAGCTCTGCACTGCTGTGCCCTGTACAATACATCTCTGAATACTTTTACCGACTTAAAAAAGAAACTATTGAATGATACTGAATATTTTACTTCCTCGTCTATAACGCAAAGTCTTATCGAAGATGACTATGTGGGCGAGCGCAGTCTGTTTACCTGGAAGTTCCCGAAGTAAATAAAAAGGCTCATTCATCGCTGCGGGCTTCCGAAGAGGAGGCCCCTCATCCCCGAGCTGTGGTGGCATCTGTACCGCCATGGACACCTGATTCTGGGGTGGCGGCCCCGGCTGTTTACCCGGCCCGTAGCCCAGCGCCGAGGAGCCGGGGGGACCTTGAGAGTCGCTTTGTCCAAACAAAGAGAAAATTTCCGTCATCGATGCAGAAAAATGTTAATTTTAAGAAATAAAAAAAATAAATAAATCTTGGCAATTTTAACACAAATACTACCAAACCACCGCACCGTGCTTCGCGTTGTTTTGCTCTGAATCCGTGAGCTTCCGTACGACAAAGCAAACTGGGCGCTACCGTCTTTCTTCATATATAGGAGACTCAAAATGAAGCAGTGAACCGCTGTTGCATGATTCAGATCAAATTTGCACACCAGACGCAATTACAATGGTGCAGACGTTTAGTGACGCATTCTCGTTTTTATTTAAATACTGTATAATTAATTAGCATTTAGGAATCACCGGTCTAAATTCAGTGTCACATCAGTGAGCAGGCGAATATTATTAATGGCGTTGTTCTTCCACTTAAGTACCTGTATTCTTCACTATTATCCATTATGGAGAAATGTAATATTCTTAAACAGCTGAGAGTAGTCCATCTGCCCCGTCTATCCTGTTTGGCACTAGGTGGACAACTGATCCAAGGATCTCATCCAGCTGTTTCTTAACTCCCACCCCCCTTTGTGTAAAGAAGAAGCTCCCGTCCTGATTGGAGGATCTCCTCCAGTGCTGTCACTGCACTGGCTTCAACAACAACGCGGCTGGGGTGCTTGCTCCACACTCCCACCACCCTTTGTGTAAAGGAGCGTCTCCTCTCCTAACTGGAGGATTACATCCAGCTGTGTCTTGCAAGACGTTACTGTATCGGCTTCAACAGCTAGACTGTTGTTTGACACTCTCACCACTTTGTGGAAAGGGTCACAGGTGTCACACAAACAGAATTGATTTGTGAAGGTTTTGTCCTACTGCCCACCCACCCATCTCCTGTCCTGCTGGTCACTCAGCTGTTCCTTCTCCTCGTTCTCCTCCATCACTGCCCGAACCGCAGTGCTCCCTCAGGGACTCAGCCACTTTCCCTTTCTCTGTCTCAGCACAGAGCTGCGGTCATGTCTGAATCGCCTTTTGTTTTTTACAGTAATTTCTTTGGTATTTTTGTGTATAACACTTCTTATTTGGTATTTTGACAGTAGGTGTCAAACCATGTATTTTGACTATGTGTCAAAACACCAGCACCTGCGGCTCCCAGCTGGCAGCCCCCTGGAGCCCCCTGGAGCTCAGCAGGAGGGAGCCTGGTCAGTACCTGGAGGGGAGACTCCTGGGAAAGCTAAGGCTGCTGCTGGAAGAGGTGTTAGTGGGGCCAGCAGGGGGCGCTCACCCTGCAGTCTGTGTGGGTTCTAATGCCCCAGTATAATGACGGGGTCACTACACTGTAAAAAGGCGGTGTCCTTCAGGTCCTGACTCTCTGTGGTCATCACAAAAACTCAAAAAGAGTAGGGGTGTTACCCTGGTGTCCTGGCCAGATTTCCCCTTGGCCTTTATCAGTCATGGCCTCCTTATAATCCCCATCTCTGAACTGGCTTCATCACTCTGCTCTCCTCCACACTGAGAGCTGGTGTGTGTGAGCAGACTGGAGCATCATCTAGGTGGGGCTGCACACTGGTGCTGGTAGGGATCCTCATTACCCGTAAAGAGCTCTGAGTGGAGTGTCCAGAAAAGTGCTATATAATAACAATAATCATACATTATTATTATAATGCGCATTATTATATAGCGCTTTTCTGGACACTAATAATACTCGTATATAAGTGTATAGAATTGTTTATTTAGGTTTAAGCTTTTGTGTTCATTTGACTGTTTATGTTAACAGCCGACACCAAATTTAGAGGCGTACAGTTTCTCATCTTTACGGTACAATAAAAGGCTAATTTTACGTATCAATAAAGCTCATTCAAAAACTTCCCTTTTACAAGGGCCTTACAGTGTATGTCACAATGCCCGATCAACCGAAAAAGTCCTATCCCTTTGCAAAGAAGAGTGACAGCTGTAATATCCAATAATATCCAAGATGTCTCCACAGCTAACCAATCCGATTACGCAAGAGGCGTGGCTTTATGTCTGTTGTTTGTCCGCAGTGACCTCTCTTCACTTCCCCTTTAAATCTTCCCTGCGACCGCAGACTGTTATTATTTGTCGGCGGACAGACCTCTGTGTGCATGTTCGTCTGCACCAGCAATCCGCCGCATATATATAGTGGCACTCTTGTTTGAGAGTTATAAAAATGGCGTTACTTACTCCCCTCCTGGCGTTTCTGTATCACCTTCCCCGGGTGTACAAGTGGCTGCTCAAGCCGTATTATGTGGCGTCAGTGTTTTTGTCGGTGATTTTCTTGCTGGTGCGAAAGACGCCGGGGATCTGTGAGCACTTGTCTACCACCAGAGAGGACGGCAACTCCTGCGATTTCGACTGGGTGAGTCCAGGGTTGTGATTTTAGAGCAGGCCGGTACCTCCGCGACTGACCGGCTGGTAGAGAGAGACACTCGCCAGTGAGCTCAGGTGTTGGTCATAGGGCAAGTGGGGAGACAGAGGGCGAGGGGACTGTTAGGACAGGGAGAGTGTTGGAGAGGACGAGGAGAACCAGGGCTGGGGACCCTGAACTAACTGGACCGGGTCTGTCCAGGGCCAGGGGTGGGAACCCTGTACCAACTGGAC